ATGGCTGCCAGTGTACCAGGGGGAACAGTTGAGAGGACTCTCCATTTGACAATGCCCTCTAGAATGAACTATAGCATTATCAAATCTGAGGTAAATACGCTTTCTTCAAATGTTCTCTCTCATTTGCTGCCCTCTTCTACTTAGAGCACATCTTGTCCTGTCATGACTGTACCCTCTAATAAAGGTTTAATCAATAAATTGAAGAGCATTCATTCAAAAAGCATTTTCCACGAACCTTTTCTACTTTGATATTTTCCTTACCTCCAGTTTTCATTTCCTGTCTCTTGACCTGTTTTCTTTTTAACATATTACGAAGTTAATTTGAAAAGTCCAACCTGTTGCAACTTATAGTCCAGGTTAGTTTTAATCAGAAACATTTTGAAAATTTAATTAAATATGACACAATTTATCTAGGCCCACTAATGTTATTTCTAAAACAACTTTCCTTCTCAATAAAGATGAGGTCACAATGGCCAAAGCACATGTTAGACCTCTATGAACAATTCTCACAAACGTATCTGCTGGCTTATCTTCTGAAATCTGGCAAAAAAAATAGGTTAGAAGTTTTGCACTTACAAAGCAATGTACTCATTAAAATATCTTTGAAGGCTGAGAATTGGGGGGAAATTCTCTAATCTTTTTTAATTATAAAATCACAGGCTATTAAAAATAGAAGGTCAACGAGATGTACAAACCACTATGTTGAAAATGAACTTTACAACGTTGCGGGATCAGGAGGGAGAAGTTAGGGAGGTGGGGAGGGAAGAGATGGTAGGGGAAAAACAAAGTAGGAAGTAACAACACTCGATAGGAAATGTACTCATTACCTTACTCATGTAACTGTAACCTCTCTGTACAGTATTTTTGCAATAAAAAATATATACAAAAAAAGAAAAAAAAATAGAAGGTCAAATCCTACAGAACCAAGAGATTAAGGAACAAAGAGGAAAGCACTTCCTTTTCTATCTGCTAGTATATACTCCTACAGCAACATGGCCTGATTTCCCTCTGCTTTGTTCTTGACAATTTGGATATAATATTTTAGTCAATCTTTCAGCTCTCCTAGTTGGTACTTTCATAAGTATATTATATACATAAACATCTGTTTTATACATTATTAATTTTAAGACAGGGTCTATTTCCTTTGGACTATAAGAGAAATAAATAGACCTATGCTTTGTCTTTTCTTAAGCAGGAGAAAGAACATATAGAATTTATTACATGCCTACAGCATGGGAGTATTATATTCTGTGTGCTTCCTCTCAGCCTGCATTTTTACTCCTCTCCTTAATTTTTCTTTGATATATTATATTTTATGTTTCTCAGATGATTTGTATTTTTAAATATTGTACTTGTAACTTGGGACTCTATTGCTTAATGTATTCATTTTAGGCAGTGCCTTTTTACTCATGACTCAGAAACATGAAGAAATTCATATTCTAAAATTTCCCTGTATTCTCTCCATGTTTCTTAGTTGTGTCATATACATTATATATTTATATTTATATTATATAAATTATATTATTAGATATTTACCATTTGCTCATGCTGTAATCCAAGCTACTCAGAAGGCTGAAATCTGAGGATTGAGTTTTGAAGCCAGACTGGGCAGGAAAGTCCATGAGACTGCCAATTAACCAGCAAGAAAACTAGGATATGAGATGTGGAACAATTGGTAGAGGAACAGTGTTGAGCAAAATAGCTAAGGAACAGTGCCCAGTCCCTGAGTTCAAGCCCCAGTACTTGCACAAAACGTTATTAATGACCTATTAGGAAAACAAAACATTTCCCTTCTCTGCTGTTATTCTAATTCCTGTAGTCAAATAGAGTTTTATAATGAAATAAATATGCTGTGCACTTTTTGCTTCTCTATTCATTTCTGGTTGAGATCTCTCAGTCAAGTTTCCTGTTTCAAGATGTCTCACCCACTGCAGATTCCAAAATGTCTCTCTTCTACATTCTCATGTCAATGTCTACTTGGCTGCACAGTAACTTCCTGCCTTTTGTCATTGTCATTGTCTGCCCTGACACTTTGGCTGTTTGATACTTGGGGCTGGCTCTGAAAGATCTGGAACTGGCTTCCAAGACCCACTCCTTCGTACCCCGGAAGACTGACTTTTCATAAAACAGGAGGATTACAAGACTCTTTATCCTCCTGACCATTTTCAATACAAAATAAGATGTCTCCATTTGGCTTGCTGGGAGCCTGTTGAGTCACAGATGTGGATGTTTATGGTAATTCTGCCTTTTTTGCAATTATTTTTCTTTACTTGACAGAATCTGTGTGCAGCTAACATCCAGCAGCTATCTTCCCTCTAACTTGCTCACCCCCCTAGCCTGTATTGCCTTCTGCACACATGGTTTATCTGAGTACCTTCTTCTAACATGAGGATAGGGGCACTTGCTTTCCAGGTTCTACTCTTTCTGGGGCACTGACTGGGCCTTTCTCACCTGCTTCATGATTGCAGAGGGCTTACTTCCAGAGGCCCCTTGCTTTAGGTTATCTGTCACTAAGCACGGTGATCTGCATCATGGTTGGCAATTTGGGGTTTGTTTGACAGACTTTCACAAATGTCTCCTTTCCTTTCATTCAATCGCAATTTTCTTTTCTGTTTTGCCTTTTATCATTTTAAACTGTTTCCTATTGACCTATGAAAAGACAGGAGGGTCAGAACACCCTAACTGTTCTCAATCCACTGAAAAACATGCTGGATGCAGGGCATCCTTAATCTGAGAGAACTGCATTCTTCAGTTGTGTTTTATTTAGCTTAGTTCATGATCCGGAATGTTTTAGAAAATGATTTTTTTCTGAGGTCTTGTAGACATTGAAGGCTCATTCAAGATGTTTCCCCCTCCCACTCTGAAATATCTACGTATTATAAAGAGAAGTCCTGGGGTAGATGTCTTGAGTTCTTACTCCATGGGGTATTGCTGGGGTCCCCTTCTGCACTCTTCCTGTGGGTATGACTTAACTCCCGCAGATCCCAATTTTATCTATTCCAAGCATGACAGATAGGATCTCAAAATGTCCTAGTTCTCTGCTTCCCTCACACTTATAAAAATAATAAGGCAGATGAGCAAGGGTAAGTAATGGATGCTTCTTTTCTATTTTCCTTTCTTTATGGCTTAAGAAAACTCAGAGTTTGACTTTAGCAACTGCAATGTCCCAAGCCTCCAGAGGCATCAGCTGTGGGAAATCAAACCTCAATGAAAAATCTACAATTTCATTTCAAATCTTGGTTGCTGCTCATAAAATATAAAGGTCTGTAAATATTCTTAAGTGATGCTAAAGAAATAACTTGTATTATCAGGCCTTGTGGGTTTAATTGAGTGAAACCAATCTTTAATGTTTCCTCTAAGTAAGTATTCATAAAAACAATAGCCATGTATGTGTTTGTCTGCTTACAAAATACTGCTTCAAATGAAAAATTATAGTGTTGACTTAAATAACATAGTTTAGCATGGAAAAAAATGAAATACATATGAAGTATCTATATATACACTATAATGCAATAAATATTTAAACACAAAATAAAAAATATTTGGCATATTTCATTATAATATTCTGTATGCTACTTTTTGGCAGTACAAAGGTTTAAACTAATGGTGTCATGCTTGCTAAGAAAGCACTTTACTACTTGAGCCACTTGGATAGCTGTCACTATTTTATTGGGTATGCTTGTGTGTGCATATATGTGCATTTGTGTATTGTAGCTTGAAGTCAGAGCCTCATGCTCTCATTCAGTTTGCTTGCCCAGCTGGCATTCCAAAACTTGGTGTCACATATCCAGTCTGACATTTTGCTAGTCCATTGTGAATGAAGTCTCAGGAACATTTTTGTTGGTATGACTTCAGACAATAATTACCCTCCAGGTCTCAGCCTCCTGAGTAGCTAGAATTATAAGTTTGAGTCACTGGCTCCCAGCTTACTACTTTAAAATAATTATTTCCACTTTGCTGGTACTGGGGTTTGAACTCAGACCTTGCAATTACTAGGCAGGAACTCTAAGACTTGAGCCATGCCCCCAGACATATTCCCTCTTTCATAAACTAAATGCTAACAGTTTAAATATACTGATATTAGATTAGAATGAAAAATTCAATGTTTTGGAACTTCTTTAAAATATGAGGAAGAATACGAATTTATCTAATACTAGCTACCATTTATTAATTTTTATTAATATTTCTTCCAAAGCATCCTTTATATATTCACATGTATAAATTAATGTTGGATGTAAATGTACCCATTTTATATGGTTCTTTGAAAATTATAGATTTTTAAAAGGTAAATAATTAAATGATTCTTGTAATACATGGACACAAAATACAATAAAATATTAAAAACATATTTTCAAGAATGTGTCTTGGTTGGATCAGTGAAAACATATTTTTTAAAGCTAGGATGTATTTTTCTAGAATGAATATTAATTTTTTCAGTGTCCAAACCTAGAGAAAGTAGGTTTGCCTCCATTGGAGTCTATGATCCAAGAGAATATTTCCATTTAGGCTGAATCACTACACTATCAAAACTACCCCCAATTAATTACATGAAAGGAAAATTATATACTTTTAAAGCAGTGAAAAATATTACTTATGTTAATACTTGTCTCAGAATATTGGATAATAGATTCTACATAATGTCATATTCTATTTTTAAATGCCAATTCTACTGTTATGAATTAATTTCAAAAGTGTCTTTAAGACTTAAGATTTGGGGGAGTTGGGGTGTGGTTCAAGTAGTCGAGAGCTTGGCTAGCAAACTGAAAGTCCTGCCTATACCCCAGCCCACGAAAATCTAAAGATGTAATATTTTCAACAGAAAGATCTATTGTTATTAGTCAAAGAAATAACACAAACACCGATCTGAATCACTAAGTGTCATGATTTAAACCAAAACAACTCTAAACAAAAGGAAAAAATTGATAGAACTGCTACTCTTTTCTCAGCTAATAAAAGGGGTAAACCAAGATGATTGGAGATTAAAAATGCAATTGTCACATTCACTTTGGCAGCACATATACTAAAACTGGAATGACACTGGGAAGATTAGCATCACCCCTGCCCGAGGATGACACACAAATTCAAGAAGTGTTCCACATTTTTCAGTGATACTTACTAGACAACACTATGTTGGAAATGAACTATACAACTTGGGGAGAGGAGGGCTGAGAGGGGGAAACTTAGAAAAAATTGAGGAAGGTGTGACATTGTTCAAAATAAATGTACTCATTACTTGCCTATGTAATTGTAACCCTTCTGTGACAACACTAAGTAGCAGACTCCAAAATATTTACAAATGGTATCAAAACTAGCAGAGCATGCACAGGATATATGCTGAAATAGAAAAAGGGGATACACTTCTGTCATTATTGATCATCTACAGAACTGTTCTCCAAAGTGCATATTCTTACAGATATAGAAATATAAACAAATAAACTGTAATTTTGCCAAGGATTTGGCAGGAACGTAAGCTCAATTGAGGAGTCTGAATGTAGACTCAAGCCTCCATAAAGCCATGCTGCTCACAGCCTTATCTAAATTCAGTAAACTATCTCTACAAAAATTTCACAGAAGGCTTTATTCTTCTCTCCTTTACTGATATAATTCCAATGCAACCTTCTATGGATGTGGTATAGCACATGACTTTAACCTCAGCAGTAAGGAAGCTGAGCCAGATGGATTGCAAGTTCAAAATTGGCCTGGACAATATAGTTGGACCCTGCATCAAAAACATATCAAAAAGAATTCCAATACAAACTCATATTTTTTTCTGTAAAACATCATCCTCCTGATTAATCATAAGGCTATTTCCTTTAACAATAACTTTCATTAGCCCTCACCTTGTCATTCTAATAGCATACTAAATCATTGCTTACTGCTTTGTTTTTCTACAACTGGCTTTAAAATTTGAGTACTTCAGGTCAATTATATTAGGCTTTTCTTTTTGTACCTGTACTTAGGGATTGAACTCAGTATGTGGTACTGCAGCTCAGTTTTTTCATTCATGGCTGGTGTTCTACTACTTGAGCAAGGCCTACAATCTGGTATTTTGCTGGTTAATTGGAGATGCAGCCTCACTGACTTTTCTACCCATGCTAGCTATGCATTTTAATTCTCTGATCTCAGCTTCCTGAATAGCTAGGAATAAAGCATGAGCCACCAATGTCTAGCTAATTACATCCATCTTTATATACATACATATGAAGATTTATCTATTTAAAATTTTTATGAACAATTATTTCAGAGGCAATATTACATTCCAGTGCTCAATAGAAACAGTGAAGATGTATCCTTTTTTCATATTGTAGCTTAAATAATACTCTTTGGGTTTTGTAGTTCTTGATTTTGTTTTGTGGTGCTGAAGATTGAACACAAGGCTTCATGGAAATTAGGCAAACATTCTAACACTTAGCTACACTCTTTGCCAGTTAGTAATAGTTTTCTAAATTAAGAGAGGAAGTTATTTTGGGGCTCTTTGTCAAATTTCTAAGCCTTAACTATACAATGTATTTCTGTATTTTAAAGAGCTAGGAAGATTAATAGTATTTCATAAGATGGCAATAGATTTAGTATTCAATAAAATACACAATTAAGAAAATCAAACTAAATTGTTTAAATAAGTGACAGATTTGCTAGCACTCCTCCAAGTATCCCACATTTCACAAAATGTAGGGCTGTCTATGAGGAATTGCCAATAAATGGATAACCAAAAGCAGCAACATGGAAAGTTCCCCAGTTCTCCAACTATTCATTTTCATTAGCTCCAGTCAACAGTTCAAAAATCTCTTCAAGGACTGAGAAGGTGGCTCAGTGGTAAAGCACTTGCCTTGCATGCATGAGGCCCTGGGTTCGATTCCTCAGCACCACATAAGCAGGAAAAAAAGCTGGAAGTGGTGCTGTGGCTCAAGTGGTAGAGTGCTAGCCTTGAGCTGAAGAGCTGAAGGGCAGCACCCAGGCCCAGAGTTCAGGCCCCACTACTGGACCCCAGAAAAAAAGAATCTCTACAAGGAAGCCCGCCATCACCCCACCTAGATGGAAGTCACGGGAAACTTGACCTTCCTGAATTTGGTGGAAGGGATAGAAGTGAATTTGCTAGAAGAAAAGGAACTATCTTCTCAAACAGACTAAATCAGATCTGAAATGTAAGCCCACTTGTACATCTCCATGCATCTTACTCTCATCATTAAAGATGTCACTCATTCACTTAGGCCTTTACCCATCCACCTAGGCCTTCACCGATCCATTATCCATCCACACATTCATCATCAGTATATTCACCAGATGCCCATTGGGATTATAACTGACATTCTGTGGATGTCTTTGAAACAAGGTTTAACTTATCTCTATTACAAACCAAACCCTCAAAGGAATTTTGATTATTATTTTTCTAGGCTTTGCATGTACCTAGGAAGGGGTACAGGATGGAGCCAAGAAAATTTTCAAAGTTAAATTTACCTCCTTTCCCCACTATGCTATACCTGAAGACTACTAGTAATTGTACACATTTAGCACTTGCATGTATATGAGTATTTTAAGTAAACATGTATATATTTAATTCATATTTAAGTCAGAAACAGACTTCAAAGGAAGTTAGCACACTAGCGAAAGGTCAGTGAAACTGTATAAATTATAAAAAGATAAATGCATGCTCTTTGGCTAAGACTCTGCTACACATGATTTATTGGATAAGGCTCCCTTCTATTTCAATAATTAGCATTAGGAAATCAATATTCTTGTGACAGGAACAAAGCATAAAATTTCCTCCTCTTCTATCCTAGTGATAGTAAACAAGAAAAAGCACCCTTCCTTTCAGTTCCCTTCTGTTTCTATGTATGTGTATGTTTGTGTTTGTGTCTGTGTCTATGTCTGTGTCTGTGTGTCTGTGTCTGTGTCTGTGTCTGTGTCTGTGTCTGTGTCTGTGTGTGACTGTGTCTGTGTCTCTGTGTGCTGGTACCTGGGTGAACTCAGGGCCTGGGAATTATCCCTTAAAGTTTTTTCAAACTCAAGACTGGTGTTCTAAAGGAGGATACTCTTAGGAGAGGAACATAACGATACAATACCTATGTGCATCTGGTCATATAAAATAATATTTATTGAAATGAACTACAGGAAATGGAAGTAAGAAGTTTTTTCTTTGTTGTTTCTTGTTTTGTTTACTTCTCTGTTTGTCTTGTTTGTTCATTTATCTGTCTTTGGGAGGATAAGAGGAGGCACAAAAAAGGTGGGACAAAGGATGAACAAATGCAGCAGTGGTACTCACTGGACACTATGTGGAAAATGAACTATACAACTTGTGGATAGGGACAGGATGGAAAACCTGGAAGAGAGTGAGGAAGGGGATGACATTGTCCAAAGAGAAATATACTCTTTACCTGACCTATGTCACCATAACCCGTCTGTATATCACCTTTGTAATAACAATAAAGAAGGGGGAAAAGTGGTGTTCTACCACTATCTACTTCTAGATTTTTGCTAGTTAATTGGAGATGAGTCTCATAGACTTATCTGTACAGGCTGGTTTCAAAGCAAGATCCTCAGATCTTAGCCACCTGGGTAGTTAGGATTACAGGCATGAGTCACCAGAGTCTAGCTTAAGGGGTTAGTTTTGTTATGGTCTATAGGAAGTGATGCAAGTAAGATGATAGAAGAATTAGACTATGCTACCAATAGATAACATGTATTCAAGAGTGTGGTGACAGGAAGAGAAAAGAGTGAGAAATACAAGCATTTACTGAAGAAAACATATTGGGAAGGAAACAGAATTGGGAGAAATATTTCTGATGATTTGTAATGCCCCCAACATCTGTGCGCCTTAGTAGTCCCCAAGGCCTTCAGCAAGGACCTCTCATGGATTTGCATATAAGCATCTGCTCTATCACTGAGCTATCTCTCCATTGTGCAAGGCTTCTTGGTGTGTTTACTTGCTTGAATGCATCCTCAAGTGAGCTTTAAGGCAAGAGCCTAGACAGATACTAGTGATACGTACTAAGGGACTGCAGAATGAAATAAAAAAAGCATTTAGAAAAGCCATTTATGCTCTAATTTTAGTGATGAACTATGTTTTCTTTTTTAAAAAAATCCAAATTGAATCAAGGAGATGGATGCATGACTAAAATATCAAATAATAGCATCCTAATTTCTTTTTTTTTAAGTTTTGCATATTAACTTAATTAACTATTACACTATTGGTGAAGTCCTCCTGTTGATGTCATTTCATTCAAACAGGCAGCAAATGCAGAAAATGAAGAAGTGTCATTAAAACTTGCAACTGTAATCTTATGATGAATCATGAACAGGTAAAAAAAAAGGATCAAAAAAGATGATATAAAAAAGTAGGTCAGCATCAGCTTCATGTATCACAAAACAGATGGAACAATGGATGTAGAAAAATGCACTATACTCCTAGGTCATCTCATTATCAATCCTCATGTCTTCTGAGTGCAGGCGTGTGTTTGTTTTAATCAGTTCTCCTGTGTTTGTTTCTCTTCTCCTCTGAATGTCTGCTCTTCTTATATCCCTGGAGGTGACTCCTAAGAACACTTAGAACTATGAGTTCTTTCCTAAGCTCCAGGCTCAGAAATTCCATTGATCGTGCTTCGCCCAGCCAGATGGATGGTGCTGACACTGTGCAATCAGCTTTGTTGTACAGGGCCTCTTTGTGAATGGCGAAATCAAAGCACACAGCTTGATATATCAGCCCAAGGTCACTCAGCAGCCAGTGACAGACAAGGTCACACCTTGAGCCCTAAATTCCTCTCTCCCAATCCTGTCCGTGTCTCATTGATCTGCCTCATGTCACACTGCTATTTCATCTTACCATGCCTGTCAACTGTCTTTCATGTGGAGACTAACAGTAACCTCGTGGACCTTTCCTCCTCCAGGCACTCATCCCTCCTTTCTTTTCTTTCCCTTTCCTTCCCTTCATCCCTTCTTCCCTTCCTTTCCTCTTCCTCTTCCCATTCCTCTTTCCTTTTCCCTTTCCTTGTCATGAGACCATCCTATCCTTCCGAGTCCTAAGCGCAGACAACATCACTCCACTTCCAAATAAATAAAAGCAGTTAAAATCATAGTTTCTGCAACCAGGCTTTCTTAATTCAAATCCC